AGAGAGAGAGAGAGAGAGAGAGAGAGAGAGACTTCTTTTTACATCGCGTAAGAAAAAAAAAAAATGGTAAAAAAATTATCAAAGCGTTGTACGTTTGTAAGAGAGAAATCGTACAAGTGGCCTCTTATTTCGTAAATCTTTCACTTTGACTGCTACAGAAAACAACTTTGTGAGTTTGTTTGCTCGTAAAGTTGGTATTTTCACATGACGTAGCGAAAACGTAAGGATTTATTTACTTTATTCTCGGAAATTACAAACATTTTATTCGCGACTACTAGATTCACTACGGTCTTGAAAGTTGAAATTTTCTCTTTACAACGTTTCCTCCTTAAAAAACTTGTCAGACCTCTGTAAGAGAAATTTTAAAACTCGTCCCATCGAACAGAGATTTAGTCTGTTTGTAATGGTAAAATAAAAAATATTTGCAAATTTTAGGTATTCTAATTTCGTTGTCAAATAATTGATCAAAGTGTGCTCTGAATATTTCGAATCGAGACGAGAATACCTTTTTCGCGTTAAAAATTGTGTTGAGATACATCGACATGGAGAGGAAGAGTGCGGTGATGGGTGGTATGCACTCGATGGCTAGGTCGGTATCGACGTTCCACGCGTTGGACAATCCTCTGATCTGAAACGGAAAGAAAAAGAGAAAAGAAAAGTATAAAAAAATGTGTAAAGTATAAAATTGCAGAAGCTCAAGCCAAGTTCAAGCCAATTCGCAAAAATTCTATTCCATGCCAAATGATCGCCAAATGATATTCTGCTATAAAAAAGCCTTTCAATCTCGCCGAACGCGTACTCTCTTGCCACTTTAGTTTCAAACTAGATCCTAGTTTCTTCAATTACTTCAATTACTTCAAGTACAATACTTTAGAGAGAGAGAAGAAAGAAAACCAATCTATCTCGATCAAACGATGGGAAAATATTTGTTCCACAACGTGGAAAAAGAGAGAGAGGATATGTATAGTAAATTCTAGAGTTTTTTTTTAACTTGGTTAGATTTTAGATTTTAGTCGAGAAGCAAT